TTTTGTAAACTTCAAGGATATGTCAAGCTTCTACGAAAGGAGTTGAATTCCTTTCGCTACTACAGAGATTGGTCAAGTTTCTACGAATGCAGTTTTATTTCTTTTCCCATGATATTTTGTGTCTGGCCCTGAACTACTTTTCAAATAAACATTAATTAAATAGGTGACTATTTCATGTAGTTATTAAAAATCATCACTATATAGTGAGATCCACTTTACTATGATTTCATAAACCCCACATATGAAGATCCAATTGGATGAGTTTGACCCAAATGGAAACATTTTGTATAAACTATGACATATGGTTGGTGATCAGCTTACATCACATATTTTCAATATTGGTTAATGGCATCAAGTACAGAAAAAGCCCCAAGCACTATGGTAGTGTTCTTTCTTGTAAATTGTTCTCTGCCTCTCTTCTAAAAATGGTGATATTATAAAGATGAACTTGTTTTTACAAAATGATTGATGGTGAGTACTAACTTTTACATCCTATTTGAATACTTTTAGTGGAGGAACATGTTGGTGGGTATTTTGTCTATAATTGTGAAATGTGTTCACAATGTTGTAAATGAGAGTGCTATAAAGGCATTGCATTTATACATTATAATATTTATAAGCAAAATAAATGTGTATTGTAACATTGTTCCTAGTTTGGGGTGCTTCAGAGACTAAGAACCAACATAACCCTTTTAAAATATACTACCAGAGTATAATAAGTTATTACGAAATGTATAGTTTTGGAAGATATTTGTGTTCTTTGACTGAGTAGACCTTGGATCTTCTGCAGGATGTTTGAAAACTGCACTCCACATATGGTAGAGAATGATATATTATACACTACTGTCTGCACTTGTTATCTTTGTAAAGATTCTGGTGAGGGTTATGCTTAGGCTTAATTAGAGCTTTTCTTTTTTGCTATGCTGAAGAGTTTTTTTGGTTCATTCAATGAAGATATACTTCGGTGATGTATTTATGTTTTCAGATTTGTTGTTATGACCAAGCTTCGTGCCTATCTTTCATGGAGAGACTAGATGAAGTAAGCTATGTCTAACTATTGTAGAGGTGTTTGATGAGGCAACTAAACTAGGTTCTTGAAGGTTTCGTGAATGCCTTAGAACTCCAGAGAGCTATCTCACCTATTCTGAGAATACTATGAAAAAGTAGAGCTAGAAGAGTTTAACGTAGAATGTGTTTCAGGTTTTAACATGTAGCATCATACTATGAATGTGATTTATTTTACTTGTATTTGCATATTGCTACATTCACATATCAATATGATATGCAATTTATTTGTTGCTCACTTATGAAGGAAGACTAGAAATGAAAACGGCGGGTTTAATTTAAAAGGCTTTGGGTTAAGGCAGATTACCAGCAATCTCGGAGTCAGGAGAGCCAATTACTTTCAGAAGGCTATGTTTTTCATGGAGAGCCTACGATCATCAAATGAATAAGTAAATGTTTTTCCATTATACATGGACAAGAGCTTCATTAAAAGCAAAGAAAATACTTTTCTGATTAATGTAGGATTCTGATGATTTCAGAAGCATGAAGATAGCATAAGCATTGGAGATGCAAATGGAAGTGCAGAAAAAACTACAGGAACAAATTCAGGTAACCCCATTTTTCATCTGATTCCATAATTTTAAAGACTGATGAGTATCCCAGGAAAAAACACAAAAAGCAAGTATGTAACATTAAGTGTATTTAGGAACACCAAGTATATTTAGTTAAACCCTTATATACTACTCCTTTCGTTGATTAATGTTCTTGATTTTGTTTATATTGTTTGTTTGTACAGAACTACATGATTTGGCTGGAGAAGTTTGCAGTGGGTTCAATTGCTAGAAGTTTGTAGCAAGCCATGAATTTTGCTAATGAGGCACTTAGAACAGCTATAAGTGATCGACGATTGTATTATCATGGTTTTGTATTTATGTCGAACATGTATGTGTTATAGTTTGATGAATTTGCAAGAAAATTGTAAGGATATATAATGCTACTTGTGGATGAGTTTTGTGTGTAAATGAAGATTCTACGATTTTATATTATGATGTTTTGTGTCTTCATTGTGTGTTTTGAATGGCTTGTATATGTCATTCATATATAAATATGAATGATATATTTATCTTTTATAAAATATAATGATACCATAGTGTTACAAATTCTATTGATGTCTTAGCATTATTTTTTATATGATACTAATGTATCATGACTTTTTGTTTCGTTACAGTATCACAAATAATTGTGATGCATGTGCGTCAAAATATCTAATGATACTTAAGCGTCGTAATTTGCTGACATTTCATCCGTGACACTAAATTTAGTGTCACCATTTCCCACCTTCTGCGACAAAAGATATGTGTCACTAAAACTTTCTGTGACACAAAAATAGTGTCATTATAAGGTCTTTTTCTACTAGTGATCCCTATAACATACTTGTGCACTAAGTCCCGGGCCAAACTTTTGGTCAAGTGGTCCGCCAATTCCAAGTTATGTTGCGATCTTACAAATTCCACCGAAATTACACAATTCATGATTAATTCCATAATCATACTATGTCTAAAACCCAAGTGTCTAGACTTGTCATTATAAACATGACTATATGCCTTAGCCAAAGTGGCAGCACTATCACAATGGATAGAAATAGGTGCAATCGGTTTCCCCCACAATGGAATCTCAAAAAATAAATTTCTTAACCACTCCGCCTCTTTACCGGTGGTAGCCAACGCAACAAACTCAAATTCCATTGTTGAACTTGTGATACAAGTTTGCTTCTTGAATGCCCAAGAAATGGTTCCCTTCAAATACTTGAACACTCTCTTCATTGCTTGCTAATGTTGAGTACTAGGATTACTAGTAAACCGGCTCAACCTACCCACGTCATAAGCAATATCCAGCCAAGTGCTTGTCATGGCATACATTAAACTACCAATGGCTTGAAAGTACTCAAGTTGTGATACCGCCTTTCCTTTATTAGGCATCAACCTCACACTAGGATCCATGGGAGTACCAACGGGTGAACAATCACTATAATTAAACCTTTTGAGAACATTCTCAACATAGTGAGCTTGTGTCAAATCAATCCCTTTGTTTACCCTTTTAATCCTTATACCAAGGATCACATCCGCCTCCCCATGTCCTTCATGGAAAACCTTGATGATAACAACCTTTTGGTCTCATCAACCTGATTTTCGTCCGTTCCTAAAATCAGCATGTCATCAACATAGAGACATATGATCACACCCGCCCCGAAGGCAACAAACCGGCTGGCTATATACACTCTTGTCCGATTGGTTTAAACTAAAACCATTGGACAAAATAACTTCATCAAACTTTTGATTCCATCGTTTGGGTGCTTGTTTCAGCCCATACAATGATTTAACGAGTTTACAAATCTTATGCTCATTTCCTGGCATAACAAAACCTTCCGGTTGTTTCATGTAAACTTCATCATCAAGATCACCATTTAAAAATGCCGTCTTCACATCCATCTGATGTATAATCAGATTGTGTATAGCTGCCACAGCAATTAACAACCTAATGGTTGTAATTCGAGCAACCGGCACATATGTATCAAAATAGTCAATTCCGGGGTTTGTCTAAAACCTTGAATGACTAACCGAGCCTTGAACCTGTCAACAGTTCCATCCACCTTCATCTTCTTTTTCAAGATCCATTTGCAACCCAAGGGTTTAGAACCCGGTGGCAAATCCGACAACACCCAAGTGTTGTTCTCCATAATTGATGACATTTCATCATCAATTGCCTCCTTCCAAAAGGCAATATCTCGAGATTCCATTGCCTCTTTAATGGTCTTTGGATCATCCTCAACTTGGTAACAATATGAATTATGAATATTGTACCCCCGTTTCGTCCCTTGAACCTTCCACTAAATACAAGTGAAAATCAGGACCAAAATCTTTCACGATGCAGCCTCGGTTTGCTTTTCCTAATTTGTGGTGCTTCGGGATTCAAAACACCATCCAAACATTCTGGAACTCGCACCTCACTACTGCTTGGAACTAGGTCCTTTGGTCTTTGAGTAGATGAAAATCTCATCTCATCAAAGATCACATCCCGAGACTCAATCACGGTGTTAACCGCTACCGCATCGTTAGGTTCTATTACATAAAACCTATAAGCCTTGGAATTTGCAGCATACCCTATGAATATGCAATCAATTCCCTTTTCCCCCAAAGTTTTCCTTTTGGGCTCGGGCAATTTTACAACCGCCCTACAACCCCAAACCCGAAATATTTCAAATTTGGCGCTTTTTGTACCAAAGCTCATATGGGGTTGTCTTGTTCCGTTTGTTTAGAACCCTATTTAGAACATAGCAGGCCGTGAGCATGGCCTCTCCCCAAAACCCTTCACTCAAAGCCCGAGTAGGAAAACATGGAAATATTCATTTCCTTTAACACTCGATTTTTCCGTTCGGCCACACCATTTTGTTGTGGTGTATACAGAGCCGTGGTCTCATGAATGATTCCAACAGATTAAAAATAATAGGGATCCATATATTCTCCTCCCCGATCAGTCCGAAGACATTTAATTGAATTACCCAATTGCAATTCAACCTCGGTTTTATACACTTTAAATTTCTCTAAAGCTTCATCCTTAGTGTGTAATAAATACACATAACAAAACTAAGTTGAATCATCAATAAAAGTAACCACATACTTTTTATTGACAAGGGAACGAGTTGAGTGAAAGTCACATAAATCACTATGTACAAGATCCAAAATAGCCGAATTCCTTTCAACATTAGGAAACGGTTGTTTTGTGATCTTAGTAAGCATCCAAGTCCTACACTTATCATCATTAATATCAAAAGCAGAAATTAAACCATCTTTAGACATTTCATGCATTCTTCTAAAATTAACGTGAACTAATCTAGCATGCCAAAGCATACAATCATTAATGGAAGATGCCACAAAAACAGAATTATCACTAGGAATTAATTTATTCACAACATTTAAATGAAACATGCGATTTGATTAATATTCAAAACCAACAAACACACCACACTTGGACAGAATATATTTATCGGATTCAATCGCTAGTTTGAACCCTAAATTATTCAACATACTTCCCGAAACAAGATTCTTTCGAACCTTCAGTACATACAAAACATCAAACAATGTAATTGTTTTTCCAGGAGTGAATTCTAAATCAACTACACCCTTTCCCAAGATTGGCGCCATTGACTCTTCTCCCATGCGTAAGAAGGAACCGACCTCCATTAGTTCTAGGTCTTCAAACCATCCTTTATCCTTACACACATGGCTCGTAGCCCCCGAGTCAATCCACCATGCACAGTCATCACCCTGTGCATAAAAAGATTCTGGAATGAATGATACATAATTCTGGACAGAATTATCAAAGTTAGTCAGGAATTGACCTCCTTTCCGTGGAAACAGGTCCTTAGACCGTTCCTGTCCACTCCCACTCATTCCAGCGCCATCCTTGTTCAGTTTCACACAGAAATCACGCTTGACATGTCCAACCTTTTGACACCTCCAACAAACCAAACCTTTCGATTTCTTGTTGGGTAGGTTTGTCATGGTCTTTATACTTGCGCTTTTTGCCTTTCCCCTTATCTTTCGGGTTAGATTTATTATCCTCAACCAAGTGAACATGAGGCTGTCCAGATTCAACTTCAACCATAATTTGGTCATTCTCTTGCACACGAAGAGACTCCTCAATTCGCAAGTGACTCCCAAGTTGAACCAATGACAATTCCTCATCTAGATGTTTTAAAGAATGTATAAAATCCTTCCAAGAGGGTGGAAGTTTGTCAATTATACTCGACACGACATATGATTCATCGACACCTATCTTGTGGAGTTTAAATTGACCAAGAACACGAAGGAGTTCATTGTATTGTTCCATAACCGACCTTGAGTCAACCATTTTATAATTATAAAAATCACTCACTAAGAACTTCTTACTAGAAGCATCCTCTGCGATGTATTTTTACTCAATAGAATTCCACAATTCCTTCGCACTCTCAACGTTGTGGTAAATACCAAATAACGCATCGGACATACCGTTAAGAATGTGGTCTCTACTTATGTAGTCATCGTTCTCCCACTTGTTACGCCTCCTAGTTTGTTTCAAGGTTTCATCCTCCATCACGTCCGGCATTAGAGTGCTCAACACGTACACAACCTTTAAAAGGGTGAGAAGGAAGTGCATCTTCTTCTGCCATCTACGGAAATCGTTCCCTTCAAACTTGTCCAATTTGTTGAACTTGGACGCCATCTCTTCCACGATACTCATGATTATCACAATGGAATATCAATTCAATTGTTGGGGTATATCACGCAGGGGGTGATAATCGAGTACTTGGATTGCTTAAGGATCATGTAAGTTCACTTTCCCAATTGATATTTCTCCCCTATGCCTGGGCTACAAGAAATTCAATCTAGGATAATCCTTAAGGACACTCTAGAACTTACACAAGAACTAGAGCCAAACTAGTTGAGTATATGGATTGGTTTGCTTTAATTTGAGTGTCAAAGTGATGAAGATGTGTTGGATATGTTTTCTCCTCCTCCTCTGTACGAAATATGGCGGTATATATCCATATTAACCGTCCTAGGCAGTTGCAACACGTTTGAGAAACCGCAACAATTTTTGGGAAACTGCTGAAAACAGACCAACCGTTCTAGAACTCGGTCTAGAACCACAGAGCTGGTCTACTGGGAGTTATACCTCGAGTTCTACCTCGAGTTCCACTAACGTAGCCACCTTGGAATTAAACTAATTCTTATATACATGTGTGCACTCCACACCTACTAACTTGTACTAGATCATAGTTCTAATTTCCATTGGCACTCCTGTCATTTCCAATTACACAAAATGGCCGGTGACACTAAAATCACCAACAAGTCTTACTTACCTTCATTATACCTTTATTATATTGTTCACTCATAAGCAGGGTATAATTTAGCAGGACAAAATTTGGGATCGACAGCTACACACTAAAAAAGGATTTTAGATAAACTTTTACACATAAATTTTATAGAAAAAGTACAAGCATTTTTACAAATTTTGATGGGCCATGCCGAATCAGGTCCTCTGCCTCTGCCCCAACTACTCTACTAGTAGGTATATAAAGAATCCATTTGATGACGCTATTTTTCGACTTATCAGTTAACACATAATTTTTTTATTTCGCGCTTTGAATTGCTTAATAATAAGAAAAAGTGAGATTGCAATTACTTTTTTAGTTGTACTGGTTGAAGTTATTGTAGATGATCATTTTAGCTATTTTTCATATAATTTTTTTTATTAGTAAAACATTTTTTATGTATAATTTTTTTAAAAATCGATCAGCAGATCAGTCCATCCAGTCACTTCACTCAGAACTTCATAAATTTCATCAAAATCAGTCAATACAGTTGATTTGGTATAACCAAATGGGCTATAGTTTTATGGAGTATATAGTGAATGAAGGATTTGACAACTAAATTTTGGGTGTTTGAACTAACTTATTAGAATATAGATTGTGAACACGAGAATAATGAAGTACGTAGTATCATTTTATTTGATGCAACAATGCTACAAATTTTGCAAGTAATTAAGAAAACGTCTAACATTATAGCGAGTTAGGAAAGTGTGTGTATTGAAATCCGAGGAAAATCATAAATGTCTGATGAGTTTGCCGTTATGTTGATATATACTAGTAACTCATCCGTGCGATACATGATGTAGGGATGCACAATTTGAGATATTTTCTTCAAAAGTCATTAATAATTTTTATTATAAAGCGTTATGAAGTGAGAAAATTGTAAAATATGGAGTAAAATGACAACTCTCTGTGTGAAACAAATCATGTGTGGAAATGAAAATTCAAATTAATTTTTCCAAATGCTTCCAATAAGATATACCAACATTGAAAACCTTGTACCACTTAATAACATTAATCATGATATCACCAACCCTCTCTAGATAACCAAAAAATTAAAACAGCATATCACTTTTTTAATCACAAAGGCACAATGAAAAAGTTGAGTTTGGAAGTTACTTTTTCAATAAAAGCTACTTTATTTATAGCTCCTCCTTCTCTGTATTATCCTTATCTACAAAATAACAATTACATCGTAGTAGTTCGCTAAACTAAATGTTTTTAAATTTCTTAATTATACTCACTTGTAAACGGTAGATACTATAGAATTGTGCCTCAAGAGTATAAAACCTTTAAGTACTACGTCTTAAAAACTTTGAGTATAAAATATACTCCATATATACTGTTTATACAAATTGCTTAATAAAGAATTGGAACATATGAAGTATTCAAAGTGCAAAAATAAGATTCAATATCCCCGTCTCGAAATGAAGTTGCCAATTTGACTTGAACGAATATTTATGTCAGGTGGATTTTTTCCAATTAAATTTACTTTTACTTTATGTCAAGTCAAGCAAAAAGTGAAATTGAAGGATACTTGTGTCTTTTGAGTTAAAAGTAGTTTTGTTTTATAAAAATAGAAACTTATTTTTTTGGCATCCATAAAAGAAAAGCAAGAACTTCTTTTCTTAGGTAGTTTATTTTATTCTCCAAATAGACTTATTCAATCCTATTAAAACAATAAACTGATTAAAATTCCCAAAATAATAATAAATGAGTAATTTTATAAATAAAATAATGATAATCCTATTTATAAATTTTATTATTTTCAGTAGACTTTTTTTTATCATCCGGGCACCCCTCCCCTTCATCCATTTCTAAGATGATTCCTCTCCACCTTTCACCCCTCCTCTGTATCCCTCTATTGACTTCCCCCCTTCTTTTTTGTCTTACACCGAGAGCATACCTCCTATACCATCAAGAAGTTGTACCTCACCCTAATGTTCTCCCTGCACGTTTCTCTTTTCCTTTTTTCCTCGTCTTCGCCTTTTTGTTTCTAATCCAGATCTCTATCTTTTGTTTAGTTTAAAAAATTTGAGTTGGATTCAAATCTCCAACACATTTCCGTCGACTTTATTGCCGTTTGCATTCAATAGAAGATTTGAGTTTTTCTTGAACGAAGTATTCCCTCCGTCCAAATTTACCATTTTACCTTTTTGGGAAGTCCCACTAAGATTGTCCCATTTTACATTTTCGAGAAGTCCCACTAAGATTGTCACATACCAAATTTGGTAAAGATTGTGTGGCTCTAAATCATTCTTACTTTATTTTTACTTCATCAATTTAATATCAACCACACAAACTCATTTTTCTTAATAATCATGTCACTTTTTTCGTCCCAATCTTAGTGGGATGGGAGGTAGTATAAATTAAGAGATAGATCTGCAAAATCGGCAGAGTTAAGTTTTTTTATTTTAATACTTTTCGTGTGAAATATAAAAAAATTAAGGTCTTTTCAAATACTCCATATAAATGTAATAAAAAATTAATTAGGCTAACACGTCAAGTGTCACTCGATTAGGCTTCTGAGCTTTTTCTTTTTCTTTCTCTACGGATCATTTCTTTTACCATTAGTTAGGCACTAATAATAATATTAGTTTGATGTTGACTTTTGTTGGCGGGAATACTGTACACAAATTTCTTTTCCTTTTATATAGTAATAATAGATAATAGATATCACTATATATATACACTCATATATACATACGGAGTATATAAGATGCATGTGGTGCCCAAAATAAGATACGGAGTAGTACCTACGTGGTATATTATACGGCGCAAATTATATCGTGCAACCGGCGCACCATGAGGATGATGCGCCCGGTTGCAAAACGACGGAGTATTGAGACCCGATTTCTTTATTTTTTATCCTTTTGTTTTTAAAAAATGGTAATAACTTTTTTATTTTTGATCCGATTTTTATAAAATTTATATCAACATTTTTTATTTTTCATGATCTTTCAGATGAGACCAATATTGCTTATGTAATTTTAAGAAATTATCGAACTATTATATTAATGTGTATTGGATTATAAGGAAAACCAAACTAAATTTAATACAGAAAAATAATTGTGTAAATCACAAATTATCTTAAAATTGTGTATATAAAAAATTTATTGTATTAGGTATTTATACATGTGAGTTACATATTTTTATAAGTGAAGTTACATATTTTTACACGTAAAGTTACATATTTCTACACGCGAGTTACATATATATACACACGAGTTGCATTTGACTTGCCTGAACGCGAGTTACATATATTTACACGTAGAGTTACATATTTTTACAGGTAAAGTTACATATTTATACACGCGAGTTACATATTTATACACACAAGTTGCATTTGACCTGTCTGAACGCGAGTTACATATTTTTTTAAGTAAAGTTACATATTTTTACACGTAGATTTACATATTTATACACACGAGTTGCATTTGACCTGACTGGACGTGAGTTACATATTTCTACCGTAAAATTACATATTTTACATAGGTTAAAATTACATAGGCAATATTGGTCTCATTTGAAAGATCATGAAAAATTAAAAATGTTGGTATAAATTTTATATAAATCGGATCAAAAATAAAAAAGTTATTATCATTTTTAAAAAAAAAAGAGAAATAAAAAATAAAGATCTGGTGCTTGCCAAATACCCTGCTTGCCAAAAACCGTATGCCGGTATACGGTGCTCACCGTATACCGGTCATACGGTATAACAACTGATTATACGGAGTATATATCTTAATATTTTGGATCAGAATCACCGAATGGGGTCAGAAATAATAAAGAAATATGCTAAGTGCGCATAAATACATGTACTGATCACTTTTATAAAGATCCATTATATACAATATACTTATATACCTTATAGACCAGAAACTTTTCTTTCATACACTTTTACGGAGTATATTTTAAGAAACTATCCATCTCCTCAAACTCACTTCCTTTTTATATTTTCGTTTCCTTATCAATTTGTAGTATATATATATACCACATTACCACGTATTCAGTATATAATATACATTATTCATTTTTTTAGAGTTGCATTATTCATTTCTGTATTTATAAAATTTGGTAATATATAATACGGAGTAATAGATATTTTCGTGTCAATTTGAATAATACTACGTACTCAATTATATATTACAGAGTATCATATTAAAACAATTATAAATCCAATCTAAATTGTGTAACTTCATATAAGTATATAACCATGGTACTTCGGAACAGGATGTGCAGGTCACGTACTAATTAAATTGATATAAGCATTATTTTGCGTTTGTATGGAATCATTTCTCAACATTTATTTATTTATTAATTTTGATTTATCAAGTGTTTTCCCTACTGATATTTTACTATCCATTTATTCATTTCAAAAAGTGGTTTTCCTATTGATATTTTAGTATCCATTTATCCATTTCAAAAAGTGTTTTTCCTATTGATATTTTACTGTTTGTTCTTTTTTATCCATCACAGTCAGAATTATTTTTTATAGCCTTAATTTTTTATATGTAAGTTTTGAACCGTTTATATACAGATTTTTATATAAAAAAAATGATGCCGTTGTTTAAAGGTATCTTAATTACTTTGAATAATATTAAGAAAAATTACATTAGTATTATTCTTTAAAATGCGGTGAACAAAAATATTACTTGGTAATTATTAGTGACTATAATTATGTTAAAATTTACATCGTATGTAGTAATTAGATGTATATTGTTACGGTGTAAATTTTGAACACAATGGAGTCACTAGAAGTAATTAAGTAATATTTTTGTCATTAACTTTTTTATTAGTAATATTTAAGGAAAAACCCCTAATATTAATGACATCTATATAAGTAAAAAATTTACCTATACGTACTTTTTAAATTTGAGTTCTATTATACTTGGTGTTTTTATTATTTGGATTGTTTTCAGTCCCAGACCAAATCAAACCAGATCAGACTAGACTTGAACAGATCAGACCAACAAATTTCAGTCCAAAAGAAAATATCCTAAATACGAGTAGCATCGCGCAAGGTGAGAATTTTGTATACCATGGATGTTTTCATTTGGATTGAAATTTGTTGGTCTGGTCTGGTAAATGTATGATCTTTGTGTTTTTTTTGTGTATTGTCTTTGTGTATTTTATACGGAGTAATTGTTTAAGTCTTGTCTGATCTGGTCTGTTTAAGTTTGGTTTGATTTGGTCTGGTCTGTGACTGAAAACAGTTCAAAAGAAAACATGGTATGTTATGGACCAAACTAATTCCTTGCTAGTTTTTCTCCGAGGAAAGCTCAGATGGATGAGGTGGCCAGGCCAGTGGGGCAGTTTTTCATAGGAGGCTTTATAACAGTGTTGATGGACGGTCTACTCGGGGGGTATCTTATCCGAGGGGTTATTGCGGGAATAACTAGAGAGAAGTCAGAGTAAATAGGAGGAGAGAGAGTCGATTTTATTAAATGAACCCAGCGCGCAAGAGATGGATGTGGATCCTTTACAAGGAGAAATGGGCTGCTATTTATAGCAGCAATAAATGCGATGAGAGTACACGTGTCAGTAATCCAACGGCCGAGGGGTCATATCAGCCGGGTGGCACCGGCAGTGGCACGTTCACCGCATTGAATGCGGTTGGCGGATGTGACGTGGCATTAAATGCGGTGGTTGGCTGTCTCCAAAAGGAATCTTCGATGATTGAGCATGTTTGGCCGAAGGCTCCTTGTGTAGCCGAGGGCTCTATGTGACCAAGGACCCCTGTGTAGCCGAAGGCCTCATATGACCCGGAGGCTTGGATCAACCGAAGGCTTCTCTGATGCCGGGGGCTTGATAATGCCAAAGGCTCATGTTTTTCGCCGTTTTCTCCCAGTAGCTTCTTATGTCAGAGAAGGCTATCCTGTGAGTTTTGGAGCCTTCGGTCAAGGAGGCCGAAGGCACCCCAGTGTGTATTCTGGGCTACTTTGAGGCTTGGACCGTTGTATTTGGGCCTGAGTTGTTTTCTGGGCTCAATGGACTTGTGTAGAAGAAGTATGAGTCTATGGGCCGGGGGTTCCTGGGCCATATACTCCATCAAGTGTCATGTAAAGTGTTAAAAACTGTATAACCAAGCTCATTCCGTAGATAATATGGGCCGCGAGTTTCACGTACTTATTAGAGGCTCACAGTTTTTGGGTATTTATTAATATGGGCCGCGAGTTTGATTTATAGGGTTAGGGTAACTTTGGCAGTGGTTATTGTCGGGATGATCACTGGCCGAGACAATGATCATTGTGACAGCTAGGGTGATTTTTTTTGCCGCGGCGAAAGTCGCTATGACCGGTGGTGTCGTGGTGGTGGTGCTATGTTAGTCAATGTGGCCAGATCAGAGGCGGCTTTGGTCACCGTAACCGATGGTGATCACTAGGAGCAATGCTCACTCGCGGATTTTTTGGCATTGTGATGTAACACCACTGAAATGAGATTATATTAGTAACGTCGGTCCTCTTTTAATCCTTTAAGTGTTTTTTTAATAATATTCTTGTCCGACTCCAAAATTAAATCAACAATTATTGGAAAACTAAGAAAAGCTATGATGACATTTTAGTTGAGATAAATTGAAGGGAAATAATGCTCTCTAAATGCCCGTGATAGGTATGATACCCCATTTTTTAAATGCGTACAATAGTGTCACCTAATTTTTACACTGCACAATTCTCCACCACACAATATTCATTATCTGATCTTAATCCTTGTATAATCAAATATTGAAATGTACTTTGGAATTAATTTAGGGACGAAGGAGTATTATATAAGAGTATATTCCTTCACCCTCCGAGGCTCCAAGTTAAAACTTCATTCCACATAACTTTCAAATTAAATTCTTGCAAGAATATAATATGCGTATTTGAAATCGTGGCATTCATTCACTTCGCCGTTCCAATAATCTTGTTTGGCAATTCCGGCCATTGTTTCATCATCATCATCAATAACTAGCTAGCTAATAATAATGACTGCCTCAAAATACACATTATCTCTAAGTACGTTCTTCAAAATATTGTCTCTCTTTACTTTCCTCTCAGCTGAATTCATCAATGGATTAACCCTAGAACTGATCCATCCCCACTCCCCCTTCAACCCTCTCCGTGACCCCTCCAAAACAAGATATGACTGGATACGAGAAGCATACCACCACACGCGCTCACGCGCCGCCGCCATTCAGAGCCTTGGCGGCGATATTTCGAAATTCAAGACCGACATTAAGCTGGCCGGCGGAGGGTACGTCATGAAGTACTCCGTCGGGACGCCGCCGGTTGAGACGTACGGTATCGCTGACACGGGCAGTGACTTGACGTGGACGCAATGCCAGCCATGCATAAACTGCTATCAGCAGGAAACCGCCGTCTTTAATCCTCAGAACAGCCAATCTTATCGGACGGTCACCTGCGACGCGAGTGAGTGCTCTCTCGTTGAGGTTGCCGGCTGCTCCGACGACAACACGTGTCAGTACAAGGTTTCTTACGGCGACCGGTCCCAAACTTCCGGCGACTTGGCGGTGGATATTCTGACCATTGGCGGCGCCTCCTTCGATAACGTCGTTTTCGGTTGCGGCCACCAAAATAACGGCACGTTCTCAAATGGTACATAAATAAAATTGTGCTTTTCTCAAAACTCCGTACTTTTGGTATGACAAAAATATTTTTTGAAATATCCATAGATATATATCAATAAAATTAAAAATGAGATAATGGATAAAAATATTCCGTATAATTTAGTGATAGTGATTATGATCATATTCAATTTTCATACTCCGTAATAAACTGAGTTTAGTACATTTTCACCCATTTATTTTTATTTTAATAATATCATTAAAACAGAAACCTCATACTCCGTATTTTTATTATGGAGTATCATTCATCGCTATTATTTTTTGAAAATATACTTCCAACCCTTGAAGACGCTTCTAGTTTCTTTCAAGATGGTTAATGAATAAGTAGTACAAATTTCTCTCTTTGACTTTCTAACATCGCCTTTTATTGAGGGCACATATATGGAGTACATATAATACTACGTATTATAGTTACACGTTTTGTAAAATTACGTGCATATATATATATATAAAGGATCAACATTTTTTCAAAAAAAAAATATATATATAAAGGATCAACATAATTTTATTCCCAAAATATAACTTCTTATTCTTAAAGAATAACGTTTTTATTACTTAAATATTATTAAGACTAATGGATTGGTCTTATTTTGATATTAAAAATAACTAATCATATTTTTAACCTTATCAATATACTACGTATGTTTTATTCTTATCGCCGTCGCCAGAAAGAGTTTATGGAACATGTTTCCGTACTTACATTTTATTAACAAAACAAAATTTAGAGCTCCTTTGATAACACTAAAATTGGCTTAATTTATTTAATTAAATTGATGAAATTCTAGATGAAGTGCCTGAATTGGCTTAATCTGCTATATTATGGAAAATTGCATTTACAATATAATTAGTTAATAAAATAAAGAAAAAATTGTACAAAATAGTTAAAATGGCCTTCTACGGTAACTTTAATCAATTCAGTTAAAAAAAGTAACTTTCAATCATTCTTTTCAATCATATACAATTCGGCACGCAAAATCAAAAGTTACATATTCGATAAAGACAAAGAGGGCAAATAAGTTATCGAATAATTAGCTATTCTGCAACAAGACCCTTAGCTTGAACAAAAAAAAACTTGCAAATACGCACTTCTACCCATTGAAATAAAGCGATCGTCAAAACTTTTTTACTTACTGGTGTTAGTAATTTTTCACGAGAAAGTTATCATCTTATCGGCACCCGTCGGTGCGTAAAAAAAGATCCAATAGCTTTATCTAAATGGTAGAGGGGCGTATTTGCAAGTTATTTCTATTTAAGAGCGTGATTGCAAAATCGCTAATAATTGGAGAATTAATTTGCCCCGTTTTTCTTTGATAAACTTTTTATTGGTAAGAATGATAGTTTAGAAATAGAGATTATTAAATAGGCACTTATTCTGTCATAACAAAAGAATAAACACAATAAAAAATATTAAAGGCCTATAACTAGCTTAGTCTATGGAGCCATGTGTATCATGATCTCACCACAATTTATCTATAGATCTACTCCATAGTCCACATAATAGCAATTTCCGCCTTTACAAAAGCGTGATACACCCAATACATACAGGAAAAAAACTGTGTTGAATTGGTCTTATTACAAAAAAATGGGTTATATTTAACTTTTTGTGTGGAATTATATACTCCGTGTATTATGTTATCTAAAACTGTTAAGTTATTTATACTTTTATGGCCTCTGAATAGCCTATGATTTATCTTCTTGTATACATTTTTTGCTCACATTATCTTAAACACGTTTGTGAGCAGTTACATCCGCATGTTTTGTTTGTAAGAGGAAGTGTCCAGCCTAACTGATTGCCGACTCACTCTCCCTTACGGGAGATCCCGAGTTCAATTCTCAATGAAGAAAGATTGAGCCCAGTTTATCTCAGACCCCCCAAACCCCTCTCACCCGACGCCCCCTGGGGTAAAAAAAAGCGGAAAAATCATGTTTTGTTTGTGAACAGGTTATTCACATACAGAAAATGATTGTTCACAAGCGTGTATAAGATGATGTGTACAAAAAGTGTGTACAAATAGATTTTCTGAAGATTTATTTTAAAAAACACTGTTAAATGATTACTTTCCGATCAAGAACCCTAGTACTTCTATATAGCGTGGAAGCCAAGGCTCAAAACAATAATTTCCAAAATAATTGAATAATGCGTTAAAATTTCAATTTCATACAGCTGCATCAGGTATAATTGGTCTCGGCAGCTCCCAAGTCTCAATTATCAAGCAATTAGACCCTCTAATCGGCGGAAAATTCGCTTATTGTCTCTCCTCTCGGCCAGATTCCCCGAGCCACATCAGCTTCGGCCCCGAAGCTATAGTTACCGGCACTAACGCCGTCAAAACGCCGATTATCAAAGCCGTTGACCAACCCTCCTTCTATTGGCTCTCTCTAGAAAGCATCAGCATTGGCGCGAAAACATTCCAAGTCAGCAAGTCAACGTCCACGTCAGACATGAGCGCCGACGGGACAATGGTCGGAAACATAATAATTGATTCCGGCACGACGCTGACCATGATTCCGTCCGATTTGTTCACAAGTTTGGTGACTGCATTGAAGGGGAGTATCCCGGCCGCCCCGCTTGACGACCCCGAAGGGGCTTTCGGGCTGTGCTACTCGACCCGAGAGAGTTTCGAGGTGCCGGAGATCATCGTACGCTTCACCGGCGGCGCCGACGTGAAGTTGTCACCAAAGGGTACTTTTGTGGAGGTTGGGGCAGGAATTAGTTGTTTGACAATAATTCCTGATACAGACATTGGTATATCCATCTTTGGGAATTTGTCAGAGATAGATTACCTCTTTGGGTATGATTTGGAAGAACAAACAGTTACCTTTAAGCCCAGTGATTGCTCCACTTTTTAGGCTTTTGCTTTCGAAACATTTGCATGGTCTATAATAGTGTTACGTTTGTGGACGTATTGTCGTGATGTGCTTGTTTGTAAATTGTACGGAGTAATTAAATAATAATGTTGTACATTCCATAATAAAAGTAAGGTGACAATTTCCGTGCCCATTTAAAAAATGGGATATCATACCTAGCATTTACTTGATTGGTCCAAAACATTATATCATTTTTAGTTTAGAATTAAATAATTCAACTGCAACATTCTCATTGATCCATGTATACAAAGGTATGATACCCTATGGGTATCATAGAATCTACCTAAAACTAATTCGTTGTAGATTCATGAATTTATAAAGTTTTAGTTGAAATCGTAGAATTGGTTTTATCCGTAGTAGTACATTTGTCTCCGATAATTTTATCAACTTTAATTATGTTTCTTATTAATTTTCTCTTCTATGCATGAACCTTAACAATCAACTTTTATTTAAAAATTTTACGTATCAGTCAAATTTGACAAAATTATAAAGGATGGAGAATATGTAAAATAGCTAATATAGTTAGAAAATTTGACAAAGTTATAAAGGATGGAGAAGATTTCAGTCAATTGATCGAGTTAGAAAAGTAACTCAAAGTTAAGTACATATTTTGATTATTGCACAATTCGGTGCAATAATTATGTGTTTAATAAAAATTTAGGCTGGTAAGCTCAAAATAGGGGTTACCAAATACATAGTATAGTGTACACATATACGATAGTATTTGGTAATCTCCGTATTTCAAACAAATTCTACTTTTATTGTTTGTTGTGAGATTAATTGAGAGCATGCTGAATTGGCTCTAAAGGCTAGCTAGCTAGGATCATCGATTGGTTCGATATAAATATATCAATTGTTTGTAATTAAATAATAAGTTGTACTTGTGAACATATAAAAATAGTTGGGCCGTTTTTGTAAATCAACCAGGCTTCAAAGTTGAACGCGAATGATTGAATTTGTTATTAAGACTCTCTTAAAAGTTATCGGACTATTATCAACCTTATTGGACCTCTTGTGGACGAACATTTTTAAAGAGAAAAGTGTCCAAAAGCGATGACCTTGGTTTTTTTAAAAGACAAAGCGTTACGCGAAGCGTAGCTTTCTCCCAAAAAGCGATGCTTATAAAAAATATACTCCGTATAATATATTATCTTTATTCTTTAATAGTTGCAACAATTTGACTTTCAAGTTTGTCGGTGCATAACTTTGATTGTTATTATATTTAAGTATGTTACTAAACATTATAAAAAGTTTATATTTTGAACATATACATTAATAAAAATTTAAAATAACATTTTATACCTAATAATTTTATTTTTCCGTATATTTTATTGTACGTCACATACAAAAGTTCTCATTCCTTCATCAAAAGTTCACATACAAAATGATATTTTACCCTCTCTTATTATTGTCTTACCCATCACTTAATGAAATAAAACACACTAAGGGGGCGTTTACTTCACCGGTTATTAAACGGTGCTTATTAAGACCCGTGTTAATAAGCGGCGCATAAAATAAACAATGTTGTAAGAACGTGTTTACTTCAAACGGTTTAAAACACCGCTTAACATTAAAATGTCCAAAATAACCCTATACATATATATACACACAAACATTCATGAACACAAGTATATAATATAAATGTGTACCCATACCCCCTAACCCCTTACCTACCTTACTCTGACCCCACCTACCCCTACCCTACCTACCCGACCCCACCCTACCCATAGCCACCCCACCGCGACCCTACCCCCGACCCCATAAGGCCCCTACCCCCATAGGCCCTTACCGCATCGACCCCACCCTGACACCACCTTACCCCAAACCCGCCCCTACCCCTACCCCTACCCTACCTTACCCCGATTACCACTACCCTACCCGATCCCACCCTACCCCTACCCCTACCCTACCCCGACCCTTACCCCCGACCCCACTGCACCTACTCTGCCCCTAGCGCCTCTATCACATATTCACATTGGCCCCACTCCGACCCCACCACCCTAGGTATAGGGTAGGGTAAGGGGTGGGGTTGGGGTATATGGTGGGATGGGGTAGGTGGGGTGACTGCGTTCAGGTAGTGGTATGGTGGGTCGGGGTAGGTAAGTAGGGGTGGGGTTGGGTAGGTGGGGTAGTGGTTGGGTGGGTTCGGGTAGGTAGGGTGGGGTTCAGGCGGGGTATGGGGTAGGGTAAGGGTAGGGTAGGGGTAGGGTGAGGTCGGATATGGTAGGGGTAGGGTGGGGTAGGTGTGTGGTCGGGTAGTTAGGGTAGGGGTGGGGTCTGGTAGGTAGGGTAGTGGTAGGGTGGGGTCGGGTAGGGGTAGGATGGGGTAGGGTAGGGCTAAGGTGGGGTCGGGTAGGTGGGGTAAGGGTAGGGTGGGGGTCGGTTAGGTAGGGTAGGGGTGGGGTAGGTAAGGTAGGGGTAGGGGTGGGGTATGTGGGGTAAGGGTAGGAGTAGGGGTGGGGTATGTGGGGTAAGGGTAAGGGGTAGGGTGGGGGTGGGGTAGGTGGGGTTGGGGTCAAGGTGGGATCAGTAGGTAGGTGGGGCAGGGGTAACAATAGGGTAAGGGCAAGGGTTAAATTTGGAAACTGAAAAAGCTTAAAGTGCCGCTTAATTAATACATGGGGGTGTGGTAGGCTTAGTAAGCGGCACTTTAAGCACATATTTCGGTTAGTAAGCGGCTTTTTAAGCAGCGTGCGTGTTTACTTCACCTGTCTTACTAACCTAACTGTGACTTTAGCAGCGAAGTAAACGTCTCCTAAAATCCTTAATTACTCGAGCGGTCAAATCCCATCAACCATCCTACATGCTACCTCTCCAACTACCAAAATTAATTTCTTCCTTCATCTTTCTTACTTTATTCCTTCATCTCCACCGTTCTTCAACATTGAAGTTGTGCTCCTCTGAATTGCTACCCTCCCCAAAATTTTCACCACTTTTACTAGCGCAAACACTTAGCTTCGTAGATGGAAACAACTAATACGTTGTGCTCCGAATTGCTACAATATTTTGACGATGATGTGATAATAGCTGACCCCTTACAAGAAGTGTCGGAGGAATTTTTGGCGGTGTAGTAGAGGTAAGCTCTTGACACTTATATTCTGATGTACTACCTCGGGGCTGGGATGAGCTGGAGAGAGATTTCACATGATCTTGTGCCATTGCGCATACATAATGACTTTTGAAGAGGTATCACTTCGTTTGAATCTACCAGGCAAAGTCGGTGATATCAATTTAGCCGATCATATTCCATACTCTGAACCAGTTGCTCCACATTTCCGGGAGACACTTGATAAATTTCTCGAAATCTATCTTCCAAGAATTGCAGAACTTGAAAAGAAACAAAGGCTAGTTCATTCTTTGCATCATTTGCGAAGTACGTAGTATATATTAACGGTTCAATGAATTTATCCTATATTTATGTTAATGTAATCTTTGGTAAATGGAATGCTTAAAAGCTTATTGGTTAAAGTTTACTCCTGGTTTGACAGTATAATGAATTTAAATTAAGGTTATTGATTTGTCAAAGTTTAGTCTTGGTTTATTGCTTTTAAGGTTATTGGTTTAAAGTTCACTGATTTGATAAAGTTTAGTGCAGGTTCATTGCTTTTAATAAGGCCATTCCCGTAAAGTTTATTATTTTGTTAAAATTTATTGCAAGGTTATTGCTTGTAACATTGTAAGGTTATTTATTGATGTATTAAAAAGTTTATTGGAGGTGATGAGGTATTAATTTATTGGAGTTTATTGCAAAGTGCTTTGTTATACAAAGTTTATTGTAGGGGAAGTATTGCTTTTACATTTATTTGTTCGAGTTCACAAAGTGTTTATGTTCACTTCACACTCAGCATATCAAGGAGTAAATGTGAGTGTAGGTTAATTAATAAAAGTGTAATTCATACTGCTTACACTTCATAGTCAAATATTAGTCACAAGGATAAAGCAAAGCATAGCAGGGGAGTAAAAGTGAGTGATTAACAAAAAAACATTGTGTATAATGATATACACAAATGCTCCAGGTCTTCAAAAGTCAGCTACTCCTAGTTGATATGTACTGTTTCCTAGTGCATAACATTGCAATTTTAGTATTCTTTGATTGTTGTTTTTAATTGTTTAGTTTAGTTTGTGATGTACTCTATAGATTTATTTTGTAGGTTTTAATTTGTATTTTTAGCGTGTATTTTTGTTGTAAGTATCATAAGGGATGCAAGAAAATATTATAGGCACCAAAGGCAAGATGAATGGTGGAAATAAATTCTGGTAGCAAACACGGTCGGGTTAGAACATAACCCGGTCGGGTTGGAAGTGCCGTGTGAAGCCAAAAGGAAGCTACATGCCAAAATCCGGTCGGGTTCGTACAAAACCCTGTCGGGTTGAGTTGACAAGGACAATAGAACGTGTCAAAGATCAGTCTGGTCCCCTAAATTATTGTACTCTTTGCCGCGAGAGCGGTAAGAACTTAGTAATGGTTAACTAGGCTCAATTAAATTAATTTCATGTAATTAAGCCTGATCTGTCAGAATTCTGGTTACCCCGGAATCAATCTTTTTTCCCTTCGTCATTAATTGGAAAAAACCCCTTAATTTAATCGTTTTATTCGCATTTTAATTTTCCAACAATCAATCTCACACAATTGTTTTTATTTTCTTTTTAATCGTTGAATTTAATTAATACTTAATTCCTTTTTTCCGTCCCTGTGGAGACGATACTCGTACTTACACCATTTACTACAATCTATTTTAAGTGTGAGAAAACTCACATCAGACCTCTACGACATCTTCACCAATTGTGAGGTAAATATCCCACTATTCAAAGTAATAAAAAGTGTTTCCCGTTATGCAAAGTTTTTAAAAGAACTATGCACAATAAAAAGAAAAAATAAATTGAAGGGAAAACAAGAGGTTAAAGTTTTTTTTATTACTTAAGATCGACATTTTTTTATCTATGGAATAAATTTCTTTTATTGTGTCTAAAGTTATATTAAAAATGGCAATGTTATATAAATAAACAATGTTAGTTCAAATTTAACGAGAGGGACTACATCTTTATTGTGTAATTTTTATAAAAATAAAATAATCTTTAATAATAAATTATATCTTTATTTTTCCAAGAATGAGAATATTTGTGAGTCAAAGGTAATAGCTTATTGAAATAATTAGAAAAAATGGCAAAAACATTTTTTAGGAGAAGACAACAAATAAAAAGGAAATAAGGTATAAAAAAGAGAAAAAAAAAACAAACCGCTAGAACCATAGATTCGATGAAGAAAAAAATGACTGTAGCGAGAAACAATCGGATGGCTAGAGTGTAAAGCTATAATAGCAGATGTACTCTTTGTTGGGATTGGAAAATTCTTCTATTCAATATCAAGAACAGAATTACAATAGGAGGAGCAAACTCTCACACTCAACTATTACAAAAAATCAATCCTCACAAATACACTTCTACACTAAGTGCATTTCACTCTTCACACACTTTTCTCACTTTCTAAACTGATGATATGAACAACAATAGAACACTCTATTTATAGGCTACTTTGGAGACAAGAGGAAGTTGCATCCATGCTTCCATAGTTATCTCCATATCTTCTCCCATCTTTATTTGTTGGAGACCTCCTTCCAAGAAGGTGTGAGATGTCTCTTGGCAACTTCCAAGAAAGAAGATGGAAACTCCCTACACTCTTGTGGTGCTTTTTTTAGTAAAAGGGTTTAGATGATACTTTCACAATTCAATATTAGAAGAGTTTATTTGACCACTTTTCATATTGATTATAACCGCTCAAAATGGAGGTTGAGAGTAAACGACAAACATGATATTTGGTTGACAAACATTATATATTGATTTAATATAAGTGTTTCTCCTTTCAAAAAAACATTAAAGAGAAAAAAGGAACTACTTAAGTGAATAAGTAAAAATGGTACCCTCAATTTAGAAAAGATAGTAACTAATTTTGCCAATATAATGGAATGTATCATCATATATAGGAGTATGTGTCATCATCTTTAGGAGTATACCAGACATGTGATGTAAATAACAATGGTATGTGTGACACAATTAATACATACAAGCGAAATGCAAACTAACTTTGTATCATAGGCTTCTCAAGAACACTACGTATATATTGACCTTACAATGCAAGAGAGGTCAAACTCTAGAATTTCAGTAGTGGTGAGATTATTTATTTGTTTTAAGAGTAAGTCCAAAAGGATATTCAAAGTTCAAATTGTACATTATAGAGAAACATATTCGTTGTAAATAAACACTTTTAATGCCCCTGGAGCGCCAATACATTTTGGAAGATTCAAAGAATGGCTCATTAATATACTCTACTGCTGCAAGTCTTATCGCAAGGGTAAGGGCAATCAATTTTTCGAAAAGAACTCCGATCATAATACCAGTCTCCAACTGCTTCAGCTATCGTCTGCAACATAATATAAGTGAGTGAGCAAATCGCGCAAACATAGCGTTTTGATTAAACTTTAGACAATTTAGATTTTGAATCATAAAGTAGTGTTGGATCCATCGGACCACAACTTGAGAGGATAAATGAGCCAAATTGACCAGACCAGATTATGATAGAGGTAGCCCTACCCACATTGACATCCCAATAAGGCGAGGGTCCAGTCAAGGAACCCACCACAAGGATGTACAAGGGATAAGTCTTCACTTCTCATTTTGAGAAGAGGATGTTCCCAAGATTTGAACTTGTTACCTCTCCATGACACAATAACACCGTGACCAATGGGCCAACCAGGGGCGAATGCACACTAGTGATATGGGGGGCAGCTGCCCCCAATAAACTCTCCATAACTCCATATAATATATTAGGAAAAAAAAATTAGCCCTCTTAATTGCCCCCAATAAAAATAACTAAATGCCCCCAGCCCCCACGTATCTAATATTCTAATCCACCCAACTCTTAGTGCAGTCAGTCCAAATAAAAAAATAGTAACACAATAGCCTCTGCATTGCAATACCACAGGTTACTCACGTATTAACTAAATAACTACGTAGTGTTGAGTAATTAAATTGAGCATTTGACTATTGGTTATTGTTTTTTGTATAATTTTTACTACGTATCTGTTAAAGTGTTATATAAATTGCTCAATATATAAGACCAAAACATAAACATAGTGTAAAAATGAGATTAAAATACTAATAATCTAAGCTATTTGTGAACTTTAACATTATTTTAGTCCTATTTAGGGTTTTCTCGTGTTATTGTGTATTTCTACTCAATGTTCTAAAAGGCGCTAGGCGCTAGTCGGGCGCCAGCCCAGCGCCTAGCGCCTAGGCGGCTAGGCAGGCGCCTAGGCGGGACTAGTCGGAGACGCATAAATTGTATTTGTATGAATATTTTTGCATAAATATGATAAGTAATACATAGTAAAACTGTAGTATCGTGTTTGTGTGTATGAAAAATACATACACACACATCATGCATGAATGAGAATTGTAACATGCAAATTAATTGCATTATGTTATAAATATTAAATAATAAAAATATTTAACTATGTATACAAACATATGTAGTTTTTATCTTAATTTAAAAGTATATCTCCTCATATTTGTGATTAAAGTTAAAGATACATTTATCTCTTACAAAAATAAAATTTTAAAGATAAAAAATTGTTCGGCGAATCTAGGCGCCCTAGGCGGCGATTAGGCGCTCTTGGCGGGCAACTAGGCGCCCTAGGCGGCCGACAAATTCACCTAGGCGCCAAACCAATTAGTCGGAGTGCCTAAGCAAAAATCGAGGCGCCCTGCCACCGCCTAGCGCCTAGGCGGGGACTAGTCGGGCGCCTAGAGCGAGTTTTAGAACAGTGTTTCTACTAAACTATTAAAAATAGGACAGATTTTTTAAAGTTCATCAATATTCACTTGATAAAGAGAAAAAAGAGAATATTAGTTATCAAAAAATAAAGGAAAAATTCCTGATATAGGACTAAAAACGTTTGGGAATTTGAAAATAGGTCTGCCATGTTTTTATTCTCTAAAATGTTTATATTGTCATTTTAAAAGTCTGGTACTGCCAAAACATGTCATTAATTACTCCTATTTTGGAAATAAAAACATGATAGTTCTATTTTGAAATATACAAACATTTGTAGCCCTATTTAATGTAATCTCCCATAAACTAATTAATTCTTTTTTATCAGGTTTATGGACAGATTTATGAAAAAAAACACCATCTTCAACATTGGGCAAAAGATCTAATAGTGATTAAGTACTTCATTATTACAAATTTTTGTAATTATGATTAAGTACTTTATTATTACAAATTTTGGAAAAATAACTTTAAATAATACCAACTATCATCCATGAACCAATAATAATACAAACTTTGAAAATGACTTTTAATAATATCAACTATTTGAGTGTAAAACAAAAATAATATGGAGTCATTCTTTGACAAAAACTTTGATCATTTAAGACATCAAAAGCTAATGACAACCCATCAAATAAATGACAATTAGAAATATGTTCACTTATAGATATTTTGATACATGTTTTTTATGAGTTAAATAGTTGAATTTTAAGTAAAAAAAATGCTCTATATCACTTTTGGTCTATATTTAAATAGTTGGTATTATTAAATCTTATTTTCAAAGTACGTATTATTCTTGGTTTACGAAAGATAGTTTGTATTATTTAAAGTTATTTTCCCCTTATTTATTAAGTAAAAATTTTTTGCTCTTCGGATATATCTTATTAAGTGTGTAATACTGGAGGAAGCAGTTCAGCCTAGCTGGTCTCGGGTTCGAACTCAATGGAGTGAGTTTCAACCCTGATTTTTCCAGACCCCTTTCCCAAACGCCCCCTGGAGTAAAAAACAAGTGTGTAGTACTTTTTCATCATGCTTAACATTTTCTATCTTTATTTAATTTTGCCCCCAATACTTCCGTTTCCTGGATCCGCCACTGGGGCCAACCCTCCCCTTCTCAAACCCATAAATCGGGTCTAAGACATATTCAAGTGTCCTCAAGGATTGAGATTCCAAGTTAAAGTAATTGACCTAAATAGGAGTAAAACATAACACTTCTCCCTAAATAAGTGTTATCCCTTAATCTTCCTTTAGGAGTAATATTAATTTTCAACCCTTAATTCTCTTATTCTAATTAATTAATTAATTAATGTATTAATTGCCCTCCATAATTCCTCTGGGATATCAAGTCAGTTTGTTGGTGATGGGTCAGTCCGTTGGTGGCGGGGAGTCCAACAGTGGTGGAGGAGACAACGGTGGTGGCCGGTGGTGGAGCTCTTGCGACAGGTGGTGGTGGCAAGCGGACTAGGAAAAAATTTAGCGACCGGTGGCGATCGTAGATCAGCGGCGCAAATTTGTATGTCTACGGTAGCGTCTGGAAGCTAGTGGTGGTTGGCGGCAATGGGAAGTAGTTGGTTGGATGCCTGCAGGATTATTTTTGTCCAATCCCTAAAAAAGCTCCAATTTGGAAATTTTGGGAATATTGAGACTAATGTCACCTTTTTGTTATATTTTACTCCTATTTTGTAAAGGAACAATTGATATTATTAATTCCAACTATTTATGTCCGCAATTAATAATCCCTACTATGGATTATTTCCCTATAGTCCCAATTTTTACCACTCTTTTCTTTAAACGGTCCAGTAGACTGAATACCGGTCCAACTGGTAAATCTAATACGAAATATTTAAAGTTTAAAAAAAAATGGTTTTCTTCTCGACTCCCGCAACTGGAGAAATCCCTATGTACTTAGAACCTCTAACACGGTTGGGCATTCGAAGATAAAGTAGAGAGCAGGGAGACAAAAAATTATTGATGCCAAAAAATGGTAGGTCGTCTAGGGAGATAGATAAAGAAGACGACAAACTCTTCCTCCACTCAAAATTTCTTACGATTTTCTCATATTGATTTTTAGCTCGAAAAATAAAATAAACAGATGGTTGATTAAAGATCACGATCGTCTTTCTTTGATGGTCCAGAAAGTGATTTTGATAGTGGGAATTGACGATCCAATATCGTTTGAAGCAGCATTAGATTAAAACAGAGAAAGAGAAGTTCTTCTATGTGTTCAAAACTTTAGATATGGCTCGATCTTTCTCACCTTGATGTTTTTACTTGGACTGTAATTTGCTGGTCTGGTCTGGTCTGATCTTGTCTGGTCTGAACTGGTCTGGTCTGGTCTGGTAAGGTCTGGTTTCTTTGTATTTTTATAACTATCCAAGTCTAGTCTGGTCTGGTCTAGTCTGAACTGGTCTGATCTGGTCTGGACTGGTCTGGTCTGGTCTGGGGCAAATTACAGTCCAAGTAAAAACATACTTAGTCGTCGTTGATCATTTGGTACACAATTCTTTAGTAGACATAATTTTGGAAACTTTAGATTGTCGGCGCATTCATAGATCTACCAGCGAAGGGAAACACACCGGACTACCGGAGTAAACTTCATCTGCCTTTTAGTAAAACAGGTGAGATACAAGCGTTTAATCTCACAGGAGTTACCAGTCATAATTTTATGCGAACAGGTAAGAGACTGTTTAAAGAAAAGGTTACTAAAGTTGGGATTATAGGGAAATACTCCCTCCGTTCCTAAAAATTCTTCCCAGTTTGACTTGGCACGCCTATTAAGAAAGTGGAATAAAGTGCAAATGTGTGGTTGTGGTTGTGTGAGAAAAAGATAAAATAAATGTGAGCCACACAAATTGTCCAAAATGGGAAAGTGGGAAGAATTTTTTGGAACGACCCAAAAAGGAAAGTGAGAAGTATTTTTGGGAACGGAGGGAGTAATCAATAATAGAGATTATTGAAAGTAGATCATGAATAGTTAGGATTAATAATACTATCTCCGTCCCAAAAAGAGATGCAAATTTGACTTTTTTTAGTCAAACAGTCTCGTTTTGTTCACTTAATTTGGATGTCAATTTTTAATTATGTTCTAATTTGGAGTTTACAACTTTGAAGAGATTTTAATGTAGTTTATGAATATGTAAATTTTAATTATTAAAAATTGAATTAATTATCCATACGGAGGGTTGACTTTTATTATTAGTTGACCAAAAATTGTTGACTTTGCAAAACAAATTGGAATGGAGGGAGTATCAGTTTTCCTTTTGTGAATTAATCTCTTATACTCCTATGTTTGCCTTTTTATGATGTTTTATTCCTATTTTGGGCGAGATAAAAGACGGCCGACGAAGTCAGTCCCATCATATGGGCCGTGGTCAACCTATTTTTACACTCGAAGTCCACTAAGCGTTGTGTTGGACAGGCAAGATTCATTTGGAGAGACCAATTTAGTGTTAGGAAAATGGAAATTAATAATCCAACCTTTTAGCGGTCTTCTTTCAATAATCCCATCTTTTGATTATTCATGAATAATCCAACCTTTGCACCTCATCTTCATTCATTGGTCCCTGGTCGGTTAATGACCTACTATTCCAAGTTATTTTCTTATCTTTGCAAAATATTATCTTTGTGAAAGATGAGATTTATGGTATAATGATTTGCAAACATAAGAAAATAGCTTGGAATAGCAGGTCATCAACCGGTCAGGGACCAGTGAATGAAGATGAGGTGCAAAGGTTAGATTATTCATGAATAACCAAAAGGTTGGATTATTGTAAGAAGAACGCTAAAAGGTTGGATTATTAGTTTCCATTTTCACTTTAGTGTTTATAGAGAAACACTAAAGAGGAGTTCAACTCACCCTCCGATGTGGTAAATTGAAGGCATGAACCCTCCCGTATTTTAACATGGGTGACTTAGCATGAATTAAAACTATAAATTCAGCAAACCAATGAGTATCTTAATAATAGAAATGATACTAGTCATAAGATAATAACATTATTATTATTAATATCATTTTTTGTGTTATTGTTATCATTAATATTATGTGTCACTATAAGTATTACTATAAGCATCAGGATTAGCATTAATATCAGTATTAGTATTATGTTCTTATTATATGATGCTCCCTCCTCTCGCTAAGAGTATCATATTTTTTGTTCAGTTCCATTAAGATTGTCTCATTTCAAATTTGATAACAAATTGTGCATTTCTAAATTTTTAAACTTTATTTTCACTTCAATTACCAATCCAGTATCAACCACATAAATTCACTTTTCTTAGAAACAACATCACCTCCTCTTGATAAAACCCCAAGACGCTTTTTCACGCCTAAACCTCGTTTAAGCCCGCATAGGCTTCAAAGGCTTAAGGCTTGAGCTTGCTGCCTTGACACACATTAAGCCTTTTAGAGCAGCTTACACTTATATATTAGATACTTATCTTGTAAAGATTTATTTTGGGGGCACTTACAAGTCTCATATCAAAATATTAAAGAACGAAAGATGAGCTCACAAGACATTAGAATTGTACTAACTATTCATTCCATTTTAGTGATCTTAGGACCTAAGTATTTTATCAGGTACCATTTGGACAAGAAAAGGAAGAGGATGTAAATGTGTGATGAATGGTCATGTACGTGTTTACCTTGTTATCCAACATTGGAGAAACAGGAGACTGATTAGTGCTGAACCATGTCTCATCGAATTCAGTTTGACAGTGCGCATAGCAAGAGTTAATGAAGTATCCTCTCATTCGATTAGCGCCAAGTCCTTTTAATGCCTTCACAAATTCCTTCCTAAAACCTATGATATACTCCATACTTATATAAACGATAAATGTGTAGTCCATATATAATGTATAGGGTTTGAACATATGCATCACCAAAAAATAAAAATAAAAATTAAAGTGTTTGGCTTGTCAAAGAATAGTGTATAAAATTACAAGAGGTATGAAAATAGGATGTAAGACCATTTGTAGTGGTAGGAGTGGGAAAAGGAAAAAGAAAAGAAAACAGTGTTTGACGTCATCCCTGTATTTAGGAAGAGGTATGAAAATAGGATATTAAGACCACCCTCTATTTTTCACACCCTTCATCCGCTTTCCTACTTTTAATACCCATTTTAGCCTACCACTGCATGAAATTAGGAGTCTAAAATTTCCATTCTTTAACATTTCATTACAAGAGGTATGAAAATAGGATATAAGAGTATAAGACCACCCTCTATTTCGAACACCCTCCGTCCTTTTTCCCACTTTTAATACCCATTTTAGCCTACAATCACGTGAAATTAGGAGCCTAAAATTTCCATCTTTAACATTTCATTACAAGAGGTATGAAAATAGGATATATATAAAACCACCCTCTATTTCTAACACCCTATGTCCCCTTTCCCACCTTTAATATCCATTTTAGCCTACCACTACATGAAATTAGGAGTCTAAAATTTCCATCTTTAACATTTTGGACTCCTAATACTACACCACTCCAAATAGTCTACGTGAAGGCCATCCAGTACCTACCTTGAATTGTTTTAAGCTGATGTCTAGAGCATTTTGATAAGTTAAGCCTGCAGCTTTGCCACGTCCCATGTGGATCAGCAACCTCAGGAGTCAAAATGAAAAGTATCTAAAGTCCAAGAAATTTCAATAATACTCATTAAAACCAGCATGAAAAGTATTACTAAAATAATATCATCTTGTACTTTTAAATTCCAAACGAGAGATTCAGAAGCATTCACCTGCCAGGCATCATAAGCTGCATTGATTAGGAAGATGGGCGTTTGGATATATTGTGCCATGTTTTGAGGGAAGAAACACTGCAGCAACAATATCAACATGGTAATATATATATTGGCATGATGACATTTAATGTCTAACTTTACGAGGAATAGCCCAAAGCTTTAAGTGTTGGCCGACTAGTTGGTAACATTCCGATGTTAAGCCCGAGCAGTAAAATCAAGAAATATAATTAAGTACTTACCAAACCTGGCTTCATCTTAGACGTGCAAGAAACTGACAAACTGTTGGCTGATCCCTGGAAATGGATCCGTATTCAATTCCTTTTGAATCTCAAATTCTCAATTATGCTTCTATACACCACTTACGTGTTTTAATGCAAGGCTGAGTTTTGTAGAAATTTATATGTTCTATTATTTAAATTAATTAATTCAAGTATCCATTCAAGCTAGAGTTTCTCTTGAGAAGATTACATTTGAAAAAACTTTTAGCTATGAAAAAAATCAATTAAATGCTAAGAAGAATATAATATGACACACATACATGCGTTGCAACAACATCATCATAGTACTGTTCAATGTGTGATTTATTAGAAACATCCAATCTGTCAAATGAAAAGGCACCAACATTTATTTGTATTCATCAACCTATTACCAATATAAAACACATGTGTATGTATCTATGATGAGAAATCTTACGCGTTAATAAAGTAACCTGCATCTGCAATACATTTTACTTTAGCACATGCTGGGATGAGAGATTTGAATTGGTCACAATGCAATATGGTAGTCAATCCTCCCGCCGAACATCCAGACAAAACAGCCTATACAGTTAAATCTTAGTTTATGTGGTATAAAGAAATATATTTTTTGCGTCATCTGGTAGTAGCATTTTTTATGGATGAGAACGACAAGTGTTTTACATTTTTTGCATCCTTCATCCCTTTGGCAAGTAAATCATCTATAACAGCTACAAAGACTCTTGCACCTCTGAAGTGAAGATTGGTTTTCTGGTAATATATAAAAGACACTGTCCGTTAGCTCATTTCGAGTTGTAGATAACAACTCCTCATACCAATCTTGAAGACTATGTCCTCACTTATAGGGTCACCAAAACTAACCCATTGAAGTATTGAATGAATGTAAAGTATATCCTAGACCAGGCTTTATAAACCTGCAAAGCAAATAATCTACATAAACTAACATGCATACCGGATCCACTGCTTCAACATCCCCAGTATAGGATGACCCGTCACAATATCTAACCCTGACTCGATTCCAATTGTAGAAGTCTGGAAGTTTAGAATATGATTAAAGGTCGTGTTAATGAGGCTGGAAACTATTAGCATCCATTAGAAGAAGAAAATGAAAAGTTACCTCGATTTCTTACATGGTGGTTACCCAGAAGCCCTGAAAAAGCAATTTGTTTTTCCATTTTCGTGGAAGATCCTAACCTAGTATCCCTACGGGCAAGGCAATCTGTAACATTATTGCACCACCCTCCTCCCTGATACTCCAAATATAGAAGAAACACATACACCATTGAGATGCCAAAATTGTTAAATGTTCCATATCAATATATTATATACATATGAGTTTATAAAGATTTGGTATTATAAGTTTTATAAAAATTGTCATATTAATAAGTGTGTACAACCTCAAAATTGATTAACCAATTATTAACTCCCGCTCCGGATCCTCGGTCCATATGGTACGCCGGTGGACTTCCATCCAAACAGACTGCATCATTTTAAAATGGAAAAAGAATAAAAAAATTAGCAATGATAATGGAAAAGAAAAACTAGAGAAATTACAAGTCTAGTTCACCTGCTCCTTTTGGAACAGCACTCTCAACATAAGTAATATCCACTAAGAAGCCTTCTGTTCTCAAGGCAATAAGCATAAAACAAGCCAATCCATACACCGATTTTCGCACTCCGACATTTTCCATACTCCTGCAAATTTATAACATAATAAGTCTATCAACTCAAACACACTATGGTAAGAACTAAGGATAAACATGAAAATAGGACCACAAAGGACTGAAGGAGTTCATTAAGGCTCTGTTTGGAAACAATATGATAGGCTAATTTTGCTCAACCATTTTGAGTTTTGACTTGCTTATTATTTGAAGCAAAATGTATTTTATCGAATGCTACTAATTTCCGAAAGTTCAGCAGATTTTCCATAACATCTCAACCAAATAACACTTACCAAAACGATCTAAATCTTGAACTAATCTTTGAGGTGAGTGTAAGACATGCATATATATTAGAGCTAATTTTCACAAGCATAGATATCCAAATAACAGTCCTACTAATAGTGTATTCTAAAATACATAGATACTCTTTAATACAGTGCTAATTTTCATAACCACTTCATTCATTTAAGCATTAGTTCTACTGAATATTGAATAACCGATGTCAGTTGTAATCAATATGTTATGAATGAATGAATGAATAACTTAATGTGAAGAAAGAAAAGACAGAAAACATAAAATGATAGCACGAACCTTTGTGAGGTTTAGGAGCTTTCCCAGAGACAGAACGAGAAGGATAGACTGTCTTCGACCAGCTGTCTGCATTTATGGGGTAATCACTTCTCTTTATTGCCTGGCGTTTCTTTTTTTCTTTTTCCACATGACAATCCTAGCAACAAAAAAAAGACGAAATCTTTTGTCTTGTTTGCACATTCTTCACTGACAAAATCATTGAAGAAAAAATTACACTCGTGATTCACACTTTCACAGTATCTCAGTAAATGGTAAAATGAACCGTTCGATATGGTCATCAATTTCAGTTTATTGAGAATCAAAGGACGCGGTAAATGTTAATCAGTAAATCGAATTATATAATCTATACTTATTAAATCAAATTATTAATCAAAGGAAAATATATACTGAGTCACCTTAACAGGATGGAATGTATCCACTGTTTCTGGGATAAAAATACTAAACCCACTCAATTTGATGAAAAATGTTTGGTGTACATATTTTAGTGCACGTACACTCGTCTGTCTCACGCACAAACAATTGTCTGTCCACAGACAATTATGTACGAGTTTGTATGTGAGACAGACCAGTGTATGAAAGGTGTGCACCAAAATATGTGCACCTAACGCAGCTCCGAACCATTTGAAAAATGCTTGGTGTACACATTTTGGTGTACACCTTTCGTGCATTCGTCTGTTTCACGCACACAGACAATTCAGTAGAGTTGTCTGTGTACAGACAGATTTGTGTACGTGAGACAGACGAGTGTACGAAATGTATAGACAAAAATGTCTACACAAACATATTCTTGAAACCATTATTCGTACTATAACATTGATTAACCGGGTATGAGGTAGGATGTTTTTATTTGGACGGTTTTCAGTCTCAGACCAGACCAGATCAAATCAGAACAGATCAGACCAGTTTGGATCAGATCAGATCAGACCAGAATTGAATAGTTATAAAAATACAAAGAGACCATATATTATCAGACCAAACCAGTTCATACCAGACCAAATCAGATCAGACCAGACTAGCAAATTAGAGCTCAAATGAAAACATCCTTAATCAAACTTTTGGTTAACCACTAATCGGTTAACGAAAATAGCATGAAAAAGAAAAGAATAAACTCATCAAATACTCCGTATTAAACATCTTATTTGTTACGTAGTAAAAAATACATCAACAGTCGAAGATTAAATTATAAACAGCAACTTTTCCAAAGAAAAATTAGTTAGCCTGTACTACACTACTGGCTTTCAAGAGCTTTCAAGCCCGTGCATCTAATTTACCTAATTTGAATTTGATTTCTTTAGGATCATATGTAATGTGATTTAAAAGAAAAATAAATTTCGTCTAATATAGAGTCTGTTTAATATAATGTGATTTAAAAGAAGTATTCTTTTTAAGATTCTATATTAAAATATCTAATAGTTTTAATTTCGTTTTTAATTTCAATTATATGGTGGTTATAATTTTTATTATTATTTTAATAATTAAGAAAGAATTGTATGAAGATGGAGCAAAATGCGAAGTATTAACACAATTGCAAATCCGGGGCTTAGAATTCTAATCATTATCTCTTTCAAAAAAAGAATTTTAATCATAATCTCAACGTTCAGTTTGGAAAAAGAAAATATTACATTTTAGGAAATGGGACACTATTATTACATTTTTTATTTTTATTATCAAATCAAATTACTTTGAAGACAAAATCAATAGCAATTTGGCTGATTTATCTGTTAAGTGGGCAAAAAACCAATACTTCATCTCTTTAATAGAATGTAATAAAAAAAGTATAAAAATGATTGGGAAAAATTTCCAAGATATGACTAAAACATATTGAGTTTCTCAAAATATGAGTAGCTATGTTTTTTTCCCGGAATATGACTAAAAATCAAAAACAAAAATTCGTCATATTATAATGTGGAAGGACGAAAATGCCCTTATTTAAAGAAGATGCATTTTGCACTAATTTCAGCCGTGTAAATATATAGCACTTTATGAACGCGTTATAGCACAAAATTTATAGCACTTTATGACGCATTCACTGCACAACATATAATGCACTTCATGCACTTAAGTTATGGTACTTCAGTTTGTCCTTTTTTTAGTTTTGATAATTTTAGTTTTTACGTTTAATTAAATCCAATGCACGTACTCCATGCGAGAGTTATGACAAAACATTACAAAAATGTAAGCATTTTGTAATTTTTTAGATTTGATAATTGCAATTTATATCAATGTTAATGCTCTACATTATTGCACTTTTTGTCAAAATCACTTTATGTATGGTCATATCATTGCACTTCTTTGTCATAATCATTGCACTTCTTGTGATATTCACGGCATTACATAAAAAATATTCATTGCACACTATCCTCAATCGTCTTCAACCTAGGGTTCTTCTTCAATCTGGGGTTCGTCTTCAACCTCGACCGTCTTGCTGAAGAATCTGAGTTGTTGGAGCGGCGGTCCGGCCATCACCATTCTTTGGCAACATTAATTATTATCCTAATTTCATTAAATAGAAGAAGAACCCAACAAACCGTAATCTCAAGCGGCAAGAGATCAAGCACGCTGGTTGACGGAGGCACGAGGCAACTGTGCGGCAGGACGGCGCCGGCCAGGGCAAGGTCGGCAGTGGCGGCGAGTGCGGGCTGGACGCACGAAGGAGGAGAACACGTGACTGTGCAGTTAGACGGAGGTGATGAGCAGACGGACGTACGGCAAGTCGGCAAGGCATCGGCTAGGCGGTGGCGGGGCGACAGAGGTAGGTGGCGGCTGGGTGGAGGCTGGGCGGCGGCGGGGGAGCAGCGGCAGGCGGGTGTGCGTGAGTAGTGGGAAGCTAGAGGCTAGGGTTGAAGAAAAAGAGTAAAAGGATAGGTTTTATAGACTTAACCTAAGGGGTATATTTGTCCATAAAAATTAATTATTTAATTATTAATTAAGAAATTAATTAAATATAATTGATTTAAATATTATTTTGGGAAAAAAACTAGTTAGGTTATAGATTGGGAAAGTGGGGAAGTTTTACTCATACAAGGGATAATTATTTCTTAAAATGTTATAGTACGAATAATGGTTTCAAGAATATGTTTGTGATGCTAAATGTCCAGTCCAGCCTCACGTTTTTGAAAGGTAAAATTTGATGAAGCCCAACGCCAATATCTAGTACACATATATATTTGACATTTATTAAAAATATGATTAAGGATAAACGTAATTTGTGATCATGTGTCATTTATTAAGCAGTTATTTCTGAGTCAAACTACTTCAAGTTTTAAGTAAAATGTTACATTGCAAACTCAAATTTCCACCTAAATGTCCAACAAGATCGACAACCGCCTTGATTCTTCACAGGGGTAATTATGCCATCTTCCCTGAGTACGTATATCGTACACCCGGATGTACGGGTGAGAACCGTACATCCGGTTTTGTTTTTTAAAATTGTTTTAAGCTTCAGTCCATTTTAATAACCCAGTTTGAATAGAATTAAATGAATCTCACGGAAGGCCCATAAAAAGGCCCAATTAAAAGAAAGACAGTCCATTTAGTTAAAACAGCCTACTTTTTTCGGTGGCAATTTTGTAATTTCACCGAAAAATAATGGCTCCCGCTAAATGAGCAATATTGTAGTTTTGTTGAGCATCTCACATATTATATTGAGTATTATGAGGCTAATAATGAGTTTCACGATCTCTGCTTCATATCTTCTATTTTTTCTGCTATAAAAACTTACTCTGTATTAAATTATATCTAAAATTCACTCCTATTAATTTCAATATGCGAGTCTAATGTAATATGATACTTTTGAAATATGCATTGATATGACATTTTAAAAATGAGCATAACATTAGTATCAAATGAGCATACATAACTAACAAAGTGCACGTTGATATAAAAATCGTAAGGTTTGTTAGTTGAACATCATGACATTTTAAATGAGCATCAAACCTCAACTATTGAGATGAAAATCACGACTTCTGGGGAATGAGTAATAATGAACTTTTAATGAGCACCCTAACTATTCTGTTGAGTATTAGGAGTCTAATATTCAGAATCGTGATCTCTGCTTTACAAACTTCTAATTCACTTTCTTTTTGTTATTTTTTATCGTAAGGTTTGTTAGTTAAATATCACGACATTTTAATTGAGCATCAAACATCTGCTATTGAGATGAAAATCATAGTATCTTGTGAATGAGCAATAATGAACTTTTAATGAGCATCAAACCTATTATGTTGAGTATTAGGAGTCTATCATAAAATAATACTTTTAAAAAATGCATTGATATGACATTTAGAAAATGAGCATAAAATGAGTATCAGATGAGCATATGTAACTTACAACATGAGTATTAATGAGCATATGTAACATCACAACATTTTCATTCAACATCAAAACTTCTCTATTGAAAGATTGATGAAAATCATGATTTCTATTAAATGAGCATTAATGAACTATTAATGAGCATTAGACCTATACAAATGAGCATGTGTAACTTACAAGATGAGTAGTTATATGAAAATTGTAATATTTTTTTGTTGTGCAACAAGACATTTTTTGTGAGCATTAAATCCCCATTATTGAGTATTAGAATCTGCGATTGAGTATAATGATTTGTGGTCTCGTGTATATAATCAACTCTTATATAAATCTAATGTAAGAGAAAACTTCATGTCAGGCCGGCCTGACGGGCTGCTCCGTCCGGCCGAGCCCGTTTGGACACCTTCCCGGTGGAATTTTTTGATGAAATTTTTTGAGTATGTTCCTCATCAAGTCTAGTTTGTCCATACCAAATTTCAGCTCAAAATTCGATCGGGAAGGTCGTCAAATGATTTTTGCAAGTTAACTGGTCCGGAATATGTATTTTCCGGACCAGTTAACTTGCAAAAATCATTTGACGACCTTCCCGATCGAAGTTTGAGCTGAAATTTGGTATGGACAAACTAGACTTGATGAGGAACATGCTCAAAAAATTTCATCAAAAAA